AATCCTTTATAATTTTAATTGTTTAATTGCTCCTTCCTCTCTTCCTTGGCATGTTGTGAAATTTGTGATAGTTGGATAATAAACCGTTTTATTGTAATTTGTCCTTTTAAATTATTTTGAGTCGATATTAAAATTTGGAAAAGGGGGGATATCTAGATCGGTAAAATACTCAAATTTCTTCCTACAACTTCGATTGTTGTTCGGGGTACAGTTAAGGTTTTAACGAAGTTCGAGCGAATACATATTCAGCAAAAAAAAGTTGAAATAAAGTGATTAAACTAAAATTATTACAAATATTGTAAATAACAGTTCACAAATGCATATATAGAGATATGTTTTGAAGGAGGGAAATGGTCTTCACAATTTGAAATCGATCGAACACACTGTGTACGAATGCTCGTGTAAACGCGCGCCATCTATCGTAGGGTAAATGCCATAAAACTTCGCGGGAGTGTATTAAAAAACTTCCCAAAGTTTCATGGCAATCAGATAAACGGTGTGGTAATGCATGAAGAACATAAGACAGACACACAGACACACAGACAGACATACATTCATTTTTATACATATAGATGACGTTTATCTTTTGCCTAGCAGAAATCACGATAATAGACGTCATCACATATGAATAGTTGGTAAATATAATTAATTTGGTTGGCAGTGTTTTAAAATTTTAGAAATTTTTCAATTCTAGTATTTTTATCATAGCGTTTATTGTGCATTTTATACAAATTGTAGTTTGTAATATGAATATAAGAGCTATTTAACGTTTCAAATTTGTGACATAATGTAAAATGTTTCAACAATTAATTCGAAATTTGGATGCTGTAATTCGATTTATATATGTAATATTCGAATATTCCGTTATGAGTACAAAAACAACCAAAAATATTTAACTGATAAAATTAATTTGCTGGTTAATAGAATAAAATTAAATGAAATTTAATTTCAATAAATCTGATATATTTTGTTTACATAAATGTAAATTATTTTAGCTGGTTCCATTCTGAAGAATATGGATTTCACCGTCGATCCATGCGACAACTTTTATGAATTTTCATGCGGATCTTATCTGAAATACGAAAACATTTACGACGAAAAAATACGTAGTTTTACAAATTTAGAAAATTATATCCTTTATTTACAAAAAGGTAAGCGTTACTTTAATGTAGCCTACATATTAATTTTAATAAGTATAATAATAATTTTCATACACAACAAATGCAAATTCAGAACAGCTGGAGAAACCAGAAAAGTTTAATGATCCAGAATTCGTCAAAAAACTAAAGAAATATTATCAATCGTGTTTAAATAAACGTATGTATTACATTGATTTTGAATAATTAAATGCAAAACATTTATAATCCTTTACTTAAATTACAGCTAGCGATATGAAACAGGTTATTCATGGCATTTTAAGTGCAGCTAACTTGGACGGTTGGCCACTTTCTGAAAACGATAATTCAAAATCAACAATGGAAGAAGCTATAGCACTAGCATATGCTTACTATAGTCCTGGATATCTGTTTGGATTATATAGGGATCAAAACAGCTCTTACATAACTGTAATTTTTTAATAATTTATAAAAACATTTTAAAATAAATTCTTTTCTTATAAACTATTATCACAACTAAGATATTTTATAATTAAATAACAGCTAGTAATTTAACATTTCATTTAAGTGAATTTAGGGGAGACCGGGGCAAGTTTGTCAAGCGCTTTTTTTAAAAACAAATTAAAAGGAGACTTTGGTTATAGGTTAGGCAGTTGAGTTTTATTGGTGGCTTGTTGAGTGTAGTGTTTTTATTGTTCTCCAACAAGCGTAGTTGAATTATCAAGCAAATTTTCATTTTCGTTCAATTCCATATAATATTTTTTTTCCATTTATATTGAATTGGCAGGTTTTGTTATAATTCCATGATAACGAAAGTTACTTTTCCTG